AAGGTTCAGATCTATTGTTCATAGGGTCACTAACATTCATACTCAACTCCATGCGCATAACAGCAACATATGTACAGTTGTTGCCCTAATAATATTTAATATTAATTTGTCTTTACCAATTATTAATATTTAACCTATGAATTACCACCATATTATTCTTGTTAATTTCTTAGTGTTATGGAGACAGAAATACTGCAAGTGACTACTTTTAAAGAACAGAAGTTTATTTCTCCCAGTCAAGACACTCTCTGGGGAACATTCTCTCTTTCTTTCTCTCTCTGTGTTGTAGGGGAAAATCCTTGTCTCGGTTTCTTTATCTCCAGCATTGCTCAGCTTTTTGAGGATCTGCACACAACATCTTTATTTTTCCCCATTTGAACTTGCTCTTTTTACATCTCAGAAGTCTTATCTGTAAGACACAATCTATACTATTTGACTTTATTAGTATAACAAAGAGGAATAAATTCCATTTATTCCTAAATGGAATTACAGCATCCACAAGTGTAGAGGCTAGGATTCCAGTATATAATTTGGGGGAACATAATTCACCAGCTCCTCTGTGCAGAAGAAGGTGTGCAATCTTCTTCTATGCAATTTACAACCCCTGGAAAACACACTGGAGGGTCAGCTGTGAGATGGTTCCAGCTCAGTGACAATGAATTAAGTTGTAGAGTTGAATTTAATTCGTAATATTCTCCTTTATTTTTTCTATCCTTTGTTCTCCTACTTAATATTGATCTATTTTGTAAAAAAATTTACAATAGAGCCTTTTTTGCTTTACTTGAATTAGTTTCCTTCTGAACTTGTAACTTTCCACTTCATTGAGACCTTTTAGAACTTCTCTAAGTGCTAAATTAATTGAGTAATGCCAACCCTGTTAAAACTGATCCTTAAATCTTCCCTTCATTCATGCTTGTCTAGAAATATCTTAATCACATGCAGCTAGTTCTTACTATGTGGAGATGTTGTATCTCTGACTTTGCCAACTTGATAAAATTTGTGACACTAGTATCAACAATTACAGTGGTTTTGTGGATATGCTTAGAGCTGACAAGAAAAAAAAAATTAAGTCCTTTGAGCCACAAGTTTCCATCTGAAGCCAAACAAGGTATTATTCTGCCTTCTTATATTAACTCTCATACTGTAACAAAAGTCCTTTTCATTATCTGTGTAGGGTCAAAATCTTTAAAATTTAGTGCTTTTTTTGTTGCAAAGTGCTAATCATCAGAAGGTTGACTGTACCTTGTAGAGACTGTATATGTATTCCGTAAGCTTCATTTAGGTGCTCATTATAGTGCTGTTGACTGTCAGTTCAGTGTTAATAAATTGACTACAAAAAATAACTTTTAAAAAGACATATACTTGAAAAGATGTTATATTCTGGTTTGCTGATGATAATGTGACCAGAACCTCCTGGAATTTAACCCTGGGAGCAGTAGTTGTACATTTACTAATTCATTGTTTGGAATAACTTTTAGAACGTGTTGTTGTTGTTGAGTGCTATCGAGTCGTTAGGCAACTCATAGCGACACTATGAATGAAAGTCCTCAACCCTTGTGTGACTTTCATCCTTTCTCCGAGTTCATAGGGTTTCTGGAAGCAAGCTGTTACGGAAGTGGATGCCACTCCTGCTTCCAAGCTTGTTTTAATTGGGGAGCTCCACCAAACACTGTCTGCCATGGGTAACCATTAACGCATTTGACACATCAGTGTCACAGTGTTCAAGCTTCACAGCAATCACAAATTCCTGCTGTACGGCAAGTGTACACACCAGGGCTATACAACCTAGAAGAATGTTTGAACAAAAACAATGGAAAACGAGCCTGAGGGCCGCGGATTAAAAGTCACCCACCTTTGGCTTGGTAACATCACTTCATGTCCACTAGGCCAACAGATTACTCTCTATGTTGATGTTATTGTTGTTAAGTGCTGTCGAATTTTAGGCGACCCATAGAGGCCCTATGAGCAAACGTCCTCAACACTTGTGTGACTTTCATCCTTTCTCCAAGTTCATAGGGTTTCTGGAAGCAAACTGTTAATGGAAGTGGATGCCACTCCTGCTTCCAAGCTTGTTTTAATCGGGGCATGAACAACAAAGAACAAGAATTAACTCAGTGTGTATGAAAGTAATATACACGTTGTTTATAATTATTTGACATTATTAATAGAGAAAGATGCTGTACTTAAGGAAGGCTAGCAACTACGAAAGAACAAATTTGATATGTAATTGTGGTGCCATGAAGAAGATTGATGTGTAGGTCAAAGGGCGTAATATGTATGCTTTTGAAAAACAGACATAAAAGAACAAGAAAGTGATATTTGTTTGTGGTGAGTACTATAATAAGGAGAATGGACTGTAGATGTTCAGCATTAAGAACGGACTCATAGAGATTACCTTTTGTGGTTTGTTTAAAATTGTTATTTTAAAAGTAATTTGAATAGGGAGCTTTGGTGGCCTAGTGGCAAGAAGCTGCATGGCAATCCCAGA